TTAGGAAATATCAATATGGCTTGTCATTACTCCAAAAGTATCTCCCCTTCTGGATTACCAAACGACTAAAATGCTTACAAGGGCTCTTTCCTTTGGTTTGGGTGTCTTCCTTGTGCCTCTTAATTCCAATCTTCCTTGGTAGGTTTTCATCTTATACCTAACTATTTTATCTTACAGTTCTCTCTCTTTCTTTGTCTCATTTTTTTTTTCAAAATTTGAAAGAAGGGGCAACGGACAAAAAAATAGATACCTTTCATGGTGAGGTTTCTGGAAAAGAAAAAGAAATTTAAGAAAAGGCCGCCAAAGGCCTAACTTATCTAAAATCACAAATTTCCCAAGTGTATATATGGGTGTATATCTGTAGGGCTGTGTGGAAAAGGATTTCTTCCTTTTGAAAGCTACTTTTCAAGCTGTTGACAAACATGAAATCTTCAAAAAGTTAGAATAAAATGTTGCTTAATAACAAAATTATTTTCTTGACCCAGAGCTGCCAGGAGATAAGATCAGTGGAAAAGTTTGAAAACTGCAGACACAGTGAACCCGAGTTCCATACAGTTTAGTGAAATTATGGAAAGATGAATCTTCATTACCAATTACAGGCTGCCTGCTGTGCTCTCTGAAGAATGATCGAATCGGTTACCTCCTAAAAGCAAGTCACTGATGGATGCTCCACCTCTGCCCACCCACCTGGGCTGCAGCTCTCCTGACTAATATCTAAACACAATCTCTCCCACCATGATTTATGGTTTAGAAACAAGAGGATTTTGGATAAGTTATATAAACAGGCAGAAGAAAACTCAGGCAAACCAATAAGGGAGGAAAACCAGGGAATGATGTGAACTGGAAAAAAAAAATTGGAACAACTATTAAATAATTCAGGACAATTGCCCAAAGGAAAACAGATGCTGAATGGGAATGGAGGAAATAAATAGATCAAGGTATACAGCAGAAGGAAAAATAGAGTGGAAAGAAGGAATAGATAAAAGACCTCACCCAAGGGAGAAAAGCAAGAAGGTATTGCTAGTCCTGGCAGGAATATTAATAAATGGATATAGAAAAGAAAAGAAACAGCTCATAATTCCCTGACTCTGAAGAGGTACTTGGCCATGGCTCCTTACAATTCACATAAGTTTGTAATCCCTTTAGAAAGCTGATTTCCCTAGCCAGTTACAGGTTCTTTGGAGCAGTTAAGTTGTGTGGTAATGGGACAAACAGAAACTTCTGGAAGTAGTGAACCCTGGCTGAGGATAGAAAAAAAGGAATTTTAGACTTCATTCAGAGCTGAGATACCTCACATTTTAAAGTTAACAGAAGCCCAGAAAATGTGGAGTCTGCCCCAGCTAAATATTTTAACCTAGCTAGAGTTGAATAAGCATGGCTTATCCCATGTTATGGACGTTGTCCCATTGTCCAAAAGCCTTCAACTTGTCTTTCCCTTGAGTAATGAAGACAATGAATATGAGACAGTGAGAATACAAACCTTTCTTGACCAGGGAAAATTTACACAAGATGTCTAGTGACTGTTCTGAAAATGAGACGTTAGGGAAGCGAACAGCTATTCAGGGAAAAATTTATGAGCACCTGCTATGTGCCAGTGTCCACCCTCTTCAAAGTGTGTGAAGCAAGAAATCTGGAGTCGAGCCTGTAATCTGCATATTAGCAAAAACTCAAGCTGATTCTGAGATGATGATCTGATCGTTGTCCCAGAAACACTATTCTAGAGTAGTGTTTCTCAACTTTTTTTTAAATTATCACCATACAAGGAGCGTTTGTTTGTTTTTGAGATAATTATTTATTTAATTCCACTAGTTATTATTATTTTTTAAAATTTGACCAGAGACAGAAAGAGAGAGAAAGAGAAAACCAGAAAGCAAGCTGCTGGGCCAGGACTCAAACCATGGTTGACCATGTGGGAATCCAGTGCCTTAATCCACCATACCACCTGTCAGCCCCTAGATTTGCTTTTTTCTTAATCACACTTCTTTATGTACTGTGGTTCTTTGGAAGGGTGTACCAACTCAATGTCTACATTTTTTTCACCTTCCAAGAATCAATATTCACCCTTGTTGAGATATCACACATGCTCTAGGGGTTCAGTGACAGATGAGACCCCAAAGGAAATTCAGTGAGTTCAACGATCACTGTGCACAAATTATGTGTCAGGCACTATGCTGGGCACTGGTGACACTCATTACATAAAGGAGAGATACATTGTTCCTACTTTGCTTTCACTGGGAGACAGATGTAGTAAGCAGATAATTTCAACATAACACAATAAGCAGTAGAATAGAGTTTGGCACAGAATGAGCTCATTCCATAAAACCTTCAGCCCAGAGGGAGGTTGAACAACATCCTAGAGAGGGCATGTAAGTGATTCATGAGGTTGAGAAAAGTTAATGAAAGAAAATAATACAGTTAAACCAATCTTCAAGGAGGGCATGGATTTTACACTGGTTCTAGAATTATGCCTAGGATTTGGACATTCGTTTAAGATTTGT